TGCTTGGAATATGCCTTGCAAGATTGAAGTTGAGGCTGGGACTGGACACTACTAGGGTAAGGGGTTTCAAGCTAAACCAGGCGGATCCATACATATACATCAACCAGACTTCAAATGGATTGCCCAAATATCATCTCTAAGGTCACTCACTGCATTGAATTTCTGGGGCCCTGGCTGAAGACAGGTGCTGGGAGCTTGTTGTTCTGGACTGATTGGCATCAAAGTCCTTAGCCTTCCGATGTTTAGATATGTTTTGATGTTTCTCTCTAGGCTTCCCAGCCCATTTAGGCTTCTCAGCCCCAGGCTTCCCGGCTTCCCAGCCATATTAGGCTTCGTTGACTATCACTTGCTTATCGTCTTCAAGGTTGTGTGCTGTATAAAAGCCTGGGAAGGCTCAATGCCTGGGAAGGCTCAGTGCTGCATGCGAACACTCAGTGCCTGGGAAGGCTTAAACTAGTTTAATGTTAGCCGTTGTTGCAACCATTCGCCCTACCGAATCCCCTTGAAGGGATCACACCGTTGGCGGGGGGTGGGGCTGCAACCGTTGCCTTGGGGCCAACGTGCTGCCTGTAGCAATAAATGCAGGTGGCATATGAGAGCGGGGCACATGAGCTAAAGCGCCTGCTCTCCCAAACCTGGTTGCGAAACCTGGGGCATTGCTGCTATGGGTACCCGCAGCAATGCTCCCAGGTTTCCGACCCAGGGGTTCCGAGAATGGGAGGCCGACTAGAATTGGGGAAAAAAGTAAAACATGGCATCCAAATAGATTGAATATCAATACAGATAGATTGAATTTAATTGACGTGACGGTGTGAGTTTTGCAAATGGATCTAGGAATGGCTACTACAGGCAATCGACAAAGTCGTTCCTTTTTTTAAGAAATCTCTAGATTTAGTTGCGTCGAAGCTTTCCCTGGAAGTCGTGCCTTTTTGGAAAACGCAAGCAAACTCTGGTGATCACAGCGCAACCATGTTTTTAGGTGTTTTTCTTTTTTTCCTTGCGTTTAGCTTGGGTTTAGGTATCTAGTTATGCTTTGGGTATATGTAGTTTTTGTTGCGTTCAGTTGGGGGGAAACGTTTTTTGTTGCAGCTGCTTTCTTATCAGTGACTTCTGCACGTTCAACTGTATTTAGCAACTACTGTTAAACTGCTGCTCAATTGTTGGCTGTTGCTCAGTTGCTGCCGCTGGCTACTGCCAAACTGCTGCTGGATTGCTTCTGAACTACTACCACTAGGCTTACGTCATTCCAAGTGACCTGAAGTCGTATCACACCTGCGTGCGCGCAGTGTTTCGTTTAGATTTTGATAGTTCTTTTCTTTATTTGACTGGCTGTTATTGATTTGAATACTGTTTCATCGCTGTGGGCAGTGTATTGTTGACATGATTCTACTTAACCCTGTATGGTATTGATTGCAATCTTTATGGTGGTGCCATTGTCAATAGTTCGGTGAGAGGCGTGCCCATTGAAACTTATCATATTTAGGTTCTGTATGGTTCCGTCCCCTGCTGAATCTGTGCCTGCTGGAATCTGCCTGCTTGTGCTCGGTTCTGCCCGCTTGCGCTGGGTTCTGCGTGCTGCTGCTGGGTTCTGCCTGCTGTTGCTGTGTTCTGCCTGCTGATGCCTGCTGCTGCCTACTGCTGCCTGCTGCTGCTGGGTTCTGGGTTCTGCACGCTTGTGCTGGTTTTGCCCGCTTGTGGCGGGTCCTGCCTGCTTGTGCTTGATTCTGCCTTGTGCTTCTGGGGCCTGCCTGCTGCTCCTAGGTTCTGCCTGCTGCTCCTAGGTTTTGCCTGCTGCTCCTAGGTTTTGCCTGCTGCTGGTTCTGCCTGCTGCTCCTAGGTTCTGCCTGCTGCTCCTAGGTTCTGCCTGCTGCTCCTAGGTTCTGCCTGCTGCTCCTAGGTTCTGCCTGCTGCTCCTAGGTTCTGCCTGCTGCTCCTAGGTTCTGCCTGCTGCTCCTAGGTTCTGCCTGCTGCTGCTGCTGCTGGTTCTGCCTTGTGCTGCTGGGTTCTGCCTTGTGCTGCTGGGTTCTGCCTTGTGCTGCTGGGTTCTGCCTTGTGCTGCTGGGTTCTGCCTTGTGCTGCTGGGTTCTGCCTTGTGCTGCTGGGTTCTGCCTGTGCTGCTGGGTTCTGCCTTGTGCTGCTGGGTTCTGCCTTGTGCTGCTGGGTTCTGCCTTGTGCTGCTTGTGGTTTCTGCCTTGTGCTTCTGGGTTCTGCCTTGTGCTGCTGGGTTCTGCCTTGTGCTTCTGGGTTCTGCCTGCTGCTGCTGGGTTCTGCCTGCTTGTGCTGCGTCAATGCGCGATGCCCCAATGTGCGCAATATTTTGCCTGTAGGCTTCCCCTTCATGTGATTCAACCTTCCGATTTTACTTTCCGGGAGTTTGCTGCTGCCAGGGCTCGGATCTCGTTTGCATCTCGTTTTGATCTCGTTTTTGATCTCGTTTTTCCAGGCTTAGATTTCCTGGTCCTGGTCCTTTTTCCCCTTCCCTGCCCTTCTTTGGTTGCTCTTTGGTATCTTTGGTTGGTGCTCTTGCCTTCCTCTTGCTCTCTTCTTTGGGCAGGTGCTGCTGGTGGATGTTTGCTGCAGTTGGTCTCTCTCTTTGCTTGGTCGTTGTTTCTTGTCTCTGCCTGTCCAGTGCTGCTGGGTGGGAGAGGGGTGAAAAAAACAATTACTTTACTTCGAGTGATCCCCACCATGACATTTACACGTTTTGTTACTGGCAAATCTTCTGGCATTCTATCTGACATATCTTTTGGCATTCGATCTGGCATTCTATCTGGCATATCTTCTGGCATTCTACCTGGCAAACATTCAGGCACTTTATCTGGCATACCTTGTGGCATTCTATCTGGCATATCTTCTGGCATACCTTCTGACATCCTATCTGGCATTTTATCTGGCAAATCTTCTGGCATTCTATCTGGCAAACATTCTGGCACTTTATCTGGCATACCTTGTGGCATTCTATCTGGCATATCTTCTGGCATTTTATCTGTCATATCTTCTGGCATTCTATATGACATTCTATCTGGCGTTCTATCTGGCATACCTTCTGGCATTCTATCTGACATGCTATCTGGTGTTCTATCTGGCATATCTTCTGGCATTCTATCTGGCCGTTGAGGTCCAGTGGTGCTCACTGAGCTCGGAAGGTCCCAGGCTGAGGTCCAGCGGTGCTCACTGAGCTCGGAAGGTCCCAGGTTGAGGTCCAGCGGTGCCCACTGCATGCGGAAGTTGGCGAAGAGTTGGCAAGGCGGACGGCAGTTGAGGTCCAGCAGTGCCCACTGCATGCGGAAGTTGTCGAAGAGTTGGCAAGGCGGAAGTGGACCTGGAAGTGGATGCAAAGGTGGTGGAGGAGAAGCTGGAGGAGAAGGAGGAGGAGGAGAAGGAGGTGGAGGAGGAGGAGGAGGCAGAGGAGGAGAACAACTGTGATAAAATCTAACAACCCTCACCTGGCAGGTGGGGAAATAGGGATCAAAAAAAACAAATAGGGCTCAAAAAAACAAACAAGGATCAAAAAAAACAAACGAGAAAGGAAGGAAGGAAGGAAGGAAGGAAGGGGCAGGAAGGAAGGAAGGAAGGAAGGAAGGAAAGGAAGGAAGGAAGCAAGGAAGCAAGGAAGCAAGGAAGGAAGGAAGGAAGGAAGGAAGTCAGGAAGGAACCCAAGTGGTGGGTGCTGTTGAGGCACATCAGGCACATCATGCGACGTGCAGGTGAGTAGGAGACAAGTGGGACACCAGTGGAGACAAGTGGGAGACAAGTGTATAACATTGTATACCCAGGCGGCCCAGAGCAACCAGACCGTAGTCGGTCGAGCATGCCAGGAATGCAAGCCCGGAGGCAGAAGCAAAATAATGCGACCCAGGACTGCAACCTTTTCAAAGGAGTAAGAACTTACAAACTGCATTGGCCTCTTTCTGTGTGAGAGGGCCATAGCTACCCAGTATCTATTTACAGAATTCTTATTGAGAACCCCATACAGATAAACCTGTTTGGGGAAGAAAGTGGGCAAAGAAGAAACAGTGAATCGCAAGCACAGGGAAGAGAAAAAAGGGTGAAAGTGAAAGGTTCTGATTTGGAAAGGGTTATTTGACGCTTGCGTTCTGAATGGGGGAAGGCCCAAAGGCATGACTTAGGCATGACTTCTTGATGTTGCGTTCACAAGCGGGGAAAGCAAAAGGAGTGACTTAGGCATGACTTTGTCAAACCCCTGTATTGGCCAAATTATGGGCTTACAGCCAAAAGAAAGGATCTTATCAACAGCACGCACACACTGAAACCAACTTGGAATCAAGGCGTCACAGCGAGGGAACAGGAGTACCAAATTGTATCCGTCCCTACGGCTAGGCAAAACAACAGCTTGATGCCATAGGAGAATTATTTACTCCGAATTCCGAATGACTTTTTGTGCGGATATTAGCTCAAGGGGTGGTTAGCCACGCTCCGCATCGAACAGTTTGGGGGTTTGACCGTGGAATTCCCGCCAATCTTGTGGGGTTGCACTCTGGGAAACCCAACCCTTTTGCGGAGGTTTCCTTTTATTCATGGATGGTAACCAATTTTGCGAATTGCGGTTGTTCATCCTGACCCAACATGATGTCCACTGAATTTACCCAATGCTTTCCGTGCATATGTAGTGGGGAATCCAAGGCGTTTGTGAGGAGTAGTTCAAAACATGTCGGAGTTGGAGTAGCTGGTGCCCAGGCACTTTTCAAACAGATGTTGACTATGCATCGCTAGATTGGGGAACCTCCATGTTTTCACGGGTGCATCATTGTTTTCCTTCGTTGTTTGAAAACCATGGGTGTCAGCATGCAGTTATCGCCAGTTATCCATGTATGAGTTTAATATACACCATGTTTGGCACAATTTGGGAATTTAGCTGATGATGATGACATGTAACATTCGTAAGTATTTACATGTAATCATGACATCTATATTTATGCAATTGTTTCTGTTTGGAAAGATCAACATTCTCATTGGGACATCACAGTCCTCATCGACAGGCAACGGGCGCTGGGTTCTTTGGGTGATACAAAGATTTCGACCAAGGCTCGCGGGACCTGGCCAGTGCAGGTCGAACGACTGCGACCGCGTGTTCCACTGAAAAATGTGCTAAGTTTGATGCATGTTTGGTCTTGGTGATGGTAGATCAATTTGTGTATGGTGTTGTCTCTGGTGATTGTTGAAACTATAAGATCGGCGATTTGGGGTTTGTTTTCCCAATGCGAAATCAGTCACGTGTGTGAGAACTCCACAACATTGTTTTTACCAAACCTAATTGGGTGAGACAAGACATGATATAGGTCACAATGATAATGGTAAGCATAGATATTCCCAAATTTCGGTGCACCTTGACTTAGATTTGGGATGGTTTCTTTCGCGAACCGCAAAATTATGGTACTGGGTCTGCTTTCGAACCCATGCCCAAGTTTGAATTTCCCAATGCATTCAATAGATATCAATAAACAATTGGGATGGATTATTTATGTGTTCTTGCTTACCAACATTCATTTGTTAACAAATCCACCATTTTGTCAAAAGATCGGGGCCTGGCCAGGTCAGAGCGTCCATGCCAGAGGCGCCTTGCTGCTGGTCGGGGATCAAAACCATCTCCGGTAATCAAACAGGGCAACGGAAAATCATGGAAATCCCCCTTGTTTAGTTCGACGATTTTCCCAGAAAAACCCTTCATTAGAATGGCATTGTCCATTACTGGCTGGTGGTTTGGAACACTGTTTTTCCATATTTTGGGAATAATCATCCCAACTGATTCAAATTTCTCAGAGGGGTTGAAACCACCAAAAAAAAAATTAAGATGTTCCCATTAAAAGTTCCACTCAGCTGGTGATTTCCCAGGGTGAACCTGCCGAGCAATGACACCGGACAAAGCACTAGCAGGTTTCGAGCGAGGTGAGCGATACCCATTCATAGTTTCAAGTGCACCCCCAAGTAATTGCTAGGTGATTTAAACCACATAGTCACTATATAGCATATAACATATACAATTATCACCAATTTAGTGGACTACCATATTTTTGTTGGATTCAATCACATTTTCTTTGTTCAACTTTGGTGATTTAATCCAACAAAATATTCTGTGCAAGCTGAGCCATGGCTGTGCGTTTGTCCGTGTTGGTCGCATTGTGGTGCAATGTAGACCGATAAGCAGATTTCAACTTCAAAAGTAGGCAGTGATTCAACCAATATAGGATATTGCTTCGCCCAAGAATGAGGTACACACCTGAAATGGCATTTTGTTCATTTGTGTTCATGAGAAAACTGTTTTGAAAATAATTAGTGGATATTGGGTGTCCAACTTTTGAAAAACCAAACAAACCCATTTCATGACAAAAACATGGAAACATGGAACAACCTTCGGATTCATAGTATTTATCATTGTACCCAATTCCAATTATGTTGCCATTAACTTGCGATTTTGTCTATGTTTGCTAAATTGAATTTTGTTCCCATTCTGATCAAAATTTGTATTTAATTTCATACACCAGCTCTTTCGATTGCTTGTATTGGTTGCACACGCACACACGTTGCATTGTTGTGCATTGGTCGTCTCTCTCACGATGATACTGATTACCCTCTGTTAATCAAACACGGCAATGGGACATCAGTTTAATGATTTCAAAATGTTTTCATACCCTTCAAAACACGGGGATATAGCTGTTAGTTATTTATAGAAAAACTTGGAGCCACAGACAGGGGCTAATCAGAATATTTTATTTTGTGTTTTCATGTTTGTTCATTTCCAAAATTCATTGTCATTGTTTTCGTCTTGGTTTTCATGTTATTTTCATGTGTTTAGTTTTTGTTTTCGTATTTGGTTTATATAATTGTCTCTTCGTTTGCACTGTTGGTCTGTCATTTTTGCAAATGAACAAAAACGGAGGATGACGAGATACATGAGGTGCCATAGTGAGCTAAGTTGGTTTATAGCCAGTTCACTTTGGCTTATTGTGATTTTTACTATTTTTAGATGGGTGACACTAAACCGACCCTTAACTTGGGGGCACCGCCTTGTACCCTGCACTTATTCTTCCTGCTTCATATGTTTCATTCCCTATTCATATTCAAGCATTTTGGCTAATCTGTGATACAATGAAATCCCTGAAAGTTCTTAATTATTGAGCTCCTTTGTAGCGAAGAATGAGTACTAAAATGAATAACGCGAACTAAGATATGGAGTAACTGCATGTTATGGCCTTTTTGAACAGTTCGTATATGTATATATATATTATATATATATATATATTATATATATATATAGAAGGTTAAATCCCCATTACATTCCAAGATGCCAGCCATTGGTGATCCCCGAGATGCAGGCGATACATGCGGCTGGCGCGAGCCTAGGCGGCGCGCCCAATGGGTTCCTAGGCCTCGGGGTGTTTCCATGGTAACTTCGAGGATCCTTGGAGTTTCCATGGGATTTGTCTTACGCACCAAATATGGGATAAATGGTGGTTTAATTGTGGTTTAATGTGCTTATGATGGGATTAGAATGGGATTAATGATGGGATTTTCATGATGCTGCAATGTGGGGTTGGTTAGCTAAGTCAACGTCAACGTTTCACTAGGTTAACTTTATGGTTTAAGTTAGGTACTGTACAATATAGTTCAAGGGTTTTATGAACCAACTGATAACTGGAGGGCCCAACATTGTAGTGGGAAAATTGCATATAAATGGGTGCATGATGGTGATATATATATATATATACACATTTTGATATATGAACCAACAATAAGAGGGTTCTGATCCAGTCACTAAGTGGGAGGGTTCGTCAAGTTGAGGCGTCAAGCATGGCTGGGAAATCCCCATGAAAAATGGAGGTTTGAATGGGAACGGAAGTTGCCATCAACAATTGCATCTATATATATATATATATATTTTTACATTTACATATATATATATACAATATATATATATAATATTTTTCCCGGCCCGAGACCAAACAGTGTGGGGGAGTGGGAGGATAATGTATGATCATGATGATGATGATGATGATGGTAAAGGTGATGGTGATGAGGATGATAATGTTGCGGACGATGATGTTGAGGATGATGATGTTGAGGATGATGAGGTGCAGGATGAGGAGGTTGAGGTTGATGAGGTGGAGGAGGGTGCTGAGGCTCATGATGTTGCGAAGGAGGAAGATGATGATGTTGAGGATGGCATTTTTGAGGAGGAGGATGAAAAGGATGATAATGTTGCTGGAGGGGAGGTGGATGATGATGATGATGATGGTGGTGGCGGATGATGATGATAATGATGATGATGATGATGATGATGATGCGAAAGATGCGGTGGAGGATGATGATGTCAAGGGGGAGGAAAATGATGATGTTGAGAATGATGATGTTGAGGAGGAGGAAGATGATGATGTTGAGGATGCTGATGTGGAGGAGGAGGAGGAGGAGGAGGACCGATCCCAAGACCGCGACCCACAGTTTGTGCCAGCCTTCCCAGTCGAAATGCATCTGGACGTCTCACAAGAGCAACTTTATATGGAAATTTACAGGTAAAATGCCGTCGCCCAAACCCGCGGCGCAGAGTTGGTGCGAGCCTGCCAAGCTGAAACGCACATGGACTTACAAGAGCAATTTTAGAACAATTTCGTATGGAAATTTACAGGAAAAAGGGCGGGAAACCAGAGTGAACACCTCGATCAAACACCAGCCTTACCTCCTGCCGTAAGACCCCCTCAGTGTGGACATACTGTTTGGGCAATATACATATATATATTATTTATATATATATATATAAATAGGCACTGTAGATGTATTTGTAAACCAACAAACTAAATGAGGGTTTTCCAGCCATGCCTGATTGCCGAAGGGTGTCTTGAAGATTTTACAGAAATATAATAAGGATTTAACGGGCATACTTGGGATAGTAATATAGGCATAGGCTGGTTGAATCTTACAATGGGGTTGCAACATTTTGAAATACCAACTAGTTGAAAGGGTACGGTATCCAGTTTGCATCCCTTTCGAAAATCTGGTTTTAACATTTGAACAGAATCTACATGAAAATTGATGTGCGTTGTCCGGCAGATCCAATTTGAAGTTTGAACAACGATGGGCCCTTCATCCGTTGAATGTGTATGTTCAATTACACAATGTTGAATAGACCTTTGCTTGTATGCCCAATCTTGGATGCCATGAGAGGGCTAGGAAGTCCCAACACTTCACGGGAAAATCGCGTAGGATCTTTGAGTACCAGAGAACCAGGGGAAGCGCCTTTACCTCATTCAAATATCCTGTGGTTTCAAAATGCTCAATTCAACAATCCTAGAAATCGAATGATGATTAACCTGACCGTTAGCAATAATGTCCCAATTTGACTGAATCTTTGTGCCAAAAATCTCAATGACTTTCTCAGATTCTGCTGGGTGGCTCAACCAACAGTCATGGTTGATCGACTCAGGTTGCTGTTCCCCGACATGGACGGCTCCAGTTTCGCCAGCTTCGCTTCCGCCGGTGACAAAGCCGAAACTGCACCTGCTGTGTGCTTTCCGAGGACAGAGGAAAATGTCGGATACACGTATGGAGGCTTCCAAAAACATGGGTACCCAAAAATGGATTTTTTTTCCGCCTTTGACTTTAATGCCGTGTGACAGCGGTAGAGACAACCAGCTACGCGTGAAGTCCCCACCAATGATTGTGATCATTAATCAAACAAACATAAAAACACAAACAAAACCAACAAAAAACAACAAATTCAGGGGTGACGACGAGACACACCATGGGACAGTCGAATGCACGGATGCAAAATGACAGATGCCGGATCGAATGCAAATGAATGCATCCTCCCAGGGTGGATACACAGGTGCCGATCTGTGTGTCCACTAAGGACGGAATGGCATACACATTTTCCTCTTTTTCCCCATTGGGGTGACAAAAATAGAATGTAGTTTTTGATACGGCAGGGCACCGGTGGTTAAAGATGCAGTCAGTTTAACAGCAGGGACCCAAAAACTATTTCCAAGATCCTTCAGGGCGCCTGATTGCGAGACCCATTCACCAGGGAAGATAGGACACTGGTGGTGACGGGTCCAGTTAACAATACGGTTCCAAGTAAAACTTTGCTGTGAAAGTTTAAACTCAGTTTCAGCATATTCCAAGTTCTGATCAACAAGATAATATTGGCATTTGGCTGATTTTTTTCCCTTAGGTTTGACTGGAAGGGGTACTATGGTTTTTGTATATAATGCAAAGTCTATATATAGTTCCAACATGGCTGTTGGCCTGGATTCCACATTGGACCATTGCAACAACTGTGCCCAGCTGCTCAACCTATTCCAAAAAATTTCACCAAAAGGCCAATTTTCAGGGCAGGCCTGGGGCACATGATGGACAAAGAACGGACCAACGGGGATACGTGTTGTAAAATCTATGACGGCATCAGGTTGAATCTTAATCGGGGAATCCGTGACCTTGGATGCCAAGTGCTTAACAAAATTACAATATTCAATCAGGAATTCTTGTTTTTCTGCCGATATGGCATAATGGCTAGAAGCTTTTGCAAACGTGGGATTCCAATCAAGGAGGGCTTGCTTCGCATAAGCGTCTACAGTATTATTTGCCATTGCTTGCCATTTCAAAAAAGGGTCGTCAATACTCTCAACATCAGTATGGGCTTTAGTCTTAGTGGAATCAATTATACATGGGGGACGGCTACGAATTTGAACCCAAACCCTTTCCCACAAATCATGATGGTCCTGAATCTTGGGTGTGACATTACAGGAATGACAATCACAAAGATACTTTAACATCGCTAGGGCAGCTTCACAATCAATGTAAAGGTGAACCCGATAGCAACTCAACAAAGCGCCCCATATTGCAAAGACTTCACCGCGATATGCACTATGATCAACACCTGGAACCGGGGAAGCAAAGATCTTTGTGTGATCAGTTTGAAAAGGCTGGCACTTCACTGCAGCACCGGCTGAGATGCAACAAATTTTTCAAATCTTGATGGAACGCCGAGCCATCAACAAACACATGCGCAATCTCCAAATCGACCAGGGGAATCACATTCTCCGGCCATTCTAACTGATTTTCCCACAACACTTTTGAAAAACTCAAATCCAAGGGAACCAAGCCAAGAAGTTTCGTTGCAGCTGATTGTTTTGCTAACCATTTGAAAAGAGGTTTGGCATTGAATCTTTGGATTTCATACTTTTTACAATTAAAAATGCGATGTTCACGATCGTCAATTACACCACAAAGAGAACATTCGGGGTGAACATTGGGATTGAACTTTGCATACATGTTGCCGGTGCAAGCAGCCCCTGTAAAGTGCGTCACCAACAGTTGTTTTTGGTCGGATGGAAACTTATTCAAGACTTTCATCATCAAATATTCATCAACAGAACTTATATCAAAATCTTTCCGTGATTGGGCTTTGTGGGCAGCATGTGTAGTCCATAAGACGCGCAGCCAATACTTCAAGAATGTCACTGAACACGCAACCCAATTAAACTGGAATCCAAGAGTATGCTGGAGGAATCCATCTGGCAAAGGTGCCCAACCAATAGCTCTGAAGGTCTTACCCAGACTAACTGCCGGGCCTGGTCCTGCTTGTGAATTAACAATTCGATCGAGAAACCCAGTTTTTAAGGAGGGGAAATTTCGGAAGAACCTTCTCCAAAACAAGCAGGCACGAATTACCCCCTTTAACTGTGGGTCAACTGGGCATGGGTTGAACATGGTTCCAATCCACGGGCTCGCACTTGCCTGTTTCCTATGCATTGCGGCCAATGTTGCTGTACGGATTGTTTTCCATTCTGCACATGGGATATGCTGTAATTCAGACCCATAGGCCATAGTTCCAAATCCGCAAGAATGGATCATTTTTCTTTTAAATTGCACAGGTATTTTAATTTTCTGGATCCTTTTAAGAACACGTGTGGCTTTTTCAATACGCTTTTTCCCAGCAGTAATTAATTTTCTTCTGTTATAATTAATGTCGCAGCCAAGGTCTACTGCATGGGTCTTATATGGGAAGGTGTGGCCATCTACTTGAATGTTGTTAAGAGAATTTTTCCACGAAAGCTTGGTTGCCCAAACCCAAGACTTTGGGAAAGAAATGGCCATTCGAAGACTGTTAACAATTTTTGAAAGCGTGAATATGGCTGGTTTGATCTGCGATGGGGCATTGGCAATCAGGCCCCAATTGTCTGCATAGCACAAAGGTTGAATGCCCGGGTGCATCGCAAGGAATACTTTGTAAGTTAGCAAAGAATACACGGCCATCAAGGAAACGGACAATGCACACCCCTCTGCTATCCCAGTGGTAGCATTGAAGAACTGTGAACAATTTCCTTGGATATCGAAGGATCGGCGAATATTTTTTAACAGGGACATCAGTCCTGTAATGTACTGATGGGGGATTTTGAGTTTTTCCAACAACATCGCGCTTGGTGTCCATGGGATCATGTTATAACATTTGATGATGTCAATTACCACCCCACACTTATCTTCCCGATTCCAAAAAGCATCTTCAACTACAGTAGCAGTATAAGCCGCCAAAGAATCGGCAGAGATGCCACCTGCAGTGGCAGCAACTTGCGGGGGTAAAATTGAACCAATATGGCGTAACACTTCAAGGCTTCTGAGTCTTGACCACGTCCTATATATTTTAGGCAAAATGGAAATTGGTCGAATATCTAATGGTGATTTAGGCTCAAACCCCTTAGATAGTACCACTACTCTGGCTTGGGTCCAAAGGTCTGGCCACTTTGCCCCCTTCTCAATCGTAGACAGGATGTCTAACAGAAAATGAAGCAAAGGACCGTGGACAAGCTGCAACTCGAAAGTGGAGAAGCCATCCGCTCCTCTTGCAGAATTTTTTTTGACGCCTTTGAGATTTGCAAGCCAGCGATCTGGGGTAAGTGGCTGAAATTCACAAGTTGGACAATCATTAATACATCGTAAGAAGGGATTGAAATCATCCCAATAATTGGCAGGTTCGTGACACGGGTCACGTTTCCACATTTTGCTCCACTCAGCGATCAAGCACTGGTGCATTAGTTCAGGATGGGCTGATGTCACAGGCTGTGTAATTTCAAGATCTTTGCAATCTTTCAGAGTAACGGGGGACTCTAAAAGAATACCTTGGGGTTGGATTCTGCTGATGGATCTTTTTTGACCTTGAAAGGTTATCGGGTATTCATGGGAAATACCTTGGGTGCTAACCATGGGTAGCCAATTACGGCCTTCCTTGGTCCATTTCACTCGGCGCATCTGATATCTGGCAATTTTGGTGACTGATGTCAAAGGAGGAGCAGGAGCATCACGAACACTTGCAAAAGCTCTGTGGCCACCACCTTGAATATCGTCTGCAATTGATTTCTTATTGGCTGCATTTTTAGAAGCATAATATTTTTGAATCTTAGCGCTGTGAAAAGCATCAAATTCACGTTCAAGTTCCCATATGTACTCCAGGGATGGGAGGCTCAGCGGGACAAATAAGCCCAGGTGTTTCCCAATCCATGTGTGGAAACCATTGCAAAATCCATTGGCCTGGAGGATGCAGTTCCATAACTTACGGCATGCTCTAAGCGTTGTCTCTTGTTTGTTTTTAAGAAACGATGAATATTGTTGACTTAGTGCTTTAATTCTTCGCAATTGTTTTGTCCTGTACCTTAAGCTGAAGGTTAGTTGAGACACAATAGGAGTAAATTCCCCGTTTCGAGCAGGTCTTATGACAGGGACATTTTCAAGCCTGAGTTTGAGTGGTGTTTTAACCCAACGTCCAAAATGACCAGGTTGAATATACTGATAGGTTCCTTCAGAACTAATTGCTGAATGTTTTAACGTTGATTCCACTCCATGGGTAAAGATTTTTGCTGCTGTTTCCATATCCATGTTGTGGATCGCATCCTGGAATTTCGCAGCATTCAATCGACAAAAATTGTCACCATACGCATCAATTTCAGCTTCATTAAATATAAACTTATCCAATGCTTTTGGAAGAACCCATTTCCAACTTGGCGTGCACAAAGTGGAAATTGAGAAACCTGTAACAAGCAGCGGATGAGCATCAAATTCATATTCACAAGCCGTTCTACAAGTGAGAAACGAACTGGCCATCTCTCCACAACAAAGTATAAACGAATGTCGAACAGTTCCCTTAGAAGTGGGTTGGGGCTCTCTATCATGAATTCTCTGATCCAACAAAGCTGAGTCGGCCCAGCCAAACTGCTGGAGCTTGGCCCAAGCTGGAAACTTATCGAGGGGCGCATTTAAATCGCCGCAAATTATTACCGGACCACGGAAAGAGAGAGCTCTTTCAGCGGCCTGGTTGAATATATTTTCAGTAACTGCCAAATCATGTTGAGTATGATTTGTTGTTCCATACACTGAGCATACATAGATAGATCGGCTCCCATGCAAATTAACAACCGAGTCCATGAATCTAGTTGATGAATGAAGGAAATCTGGTGCAGGGAAATTGTACTTTCTGCATGGTAATTGGGAAACAATTGCAACTCCCCCTGCCCGACCACGCATGATGGA